ATGAATGAAAGAAACCAAGAGCCATTTTAATTTGAAATAATTTTTTAATTTAATTAAAAATAATATATTTAAAATTAAAAAATTTATAAAAAAAATTTGTTTTATTAACCTCTCTAAAAGAATCTAAAGGTCACACCAAAACAGCCGTTAAGAAAACCCCAATACAAAAATGAGTGTGAAGTCATGAATGAAAGAAACCAAGAGCCATTTTAATTTGACAAGAAGTAAAACTGTGCAGGCCGTGGCCAACCATATGGGAGAGCAAGTGGCAAAAGCCACTTTGCTCCAGTGAATTGGCCCCTGGGTTGTCGGGTTCGAACGCTGCCCCACACTCGTAATATCATCCCCTCCCAACCCCACAATTACTGTGGTTAAAAAAAATTATTACCAAAAAAAAAAAACTGTGTAGGCTGTTGGGTAGAAGGTAACTTGATGGAAACTACTTCAGAGCTTCTGTTTAGAAATTTAGCTGAACTGGATGTTTCCAGTTGATTATTGGCCCTCTAAATTAAGTTTCATGGAAGCTACAAATTGTGCAACAAATATGCGAAGAAACTTCTAAGCTTCCTTTTCCATGGAGGTTGAAACGTAGTGTTTCTACCATCCAAGTCCTTTTAAAAATCAAAGTAGGCCAAAGGAGAGGGACCGGGTACTCTTCACTTCTCCAGCAACTTGAAGGCTTCTTTATGTGGTTATCCCATCAGTTTAGGCAATATGCATTCTAGATGTTTGCTTTATTGCCTCTGAGAGCTACCCAGTTTGTAGTGGGCTCTATCTTTCTTTCTTTCTCCATTATTTTTTTTTTTTTTTGGTGGGGGCGTAATTGGGTCGTATCTGTTATCATCAGAGTTTTTCCTATATATCCTTAAGAAAACCTCACGCTCTAATACTCTAGCTTTAGGATGTCAAAAGCAAAAGTTGTAGTACTGTTCGGCTTCATGGCCCTTTCTTTGTCTCTTTTTCCTGATGTTTGTATGGCTCATTGCGTCCCTTCTTCCTGTGGAAACCTTACTATAAGTCCTCCTTTTTGGTTACAGAGTGATCGTATCAAGTGTCCTGAGTCAAAGTATGAACTAGTTTGCGAGACCAACCGCGCCACTTTGCACACCAGGATATCCGGAAAATTCTTTGTGGAGGAAATCTCTTATGAGAATAAGACAGTTCGACTGCTAGATGCCAGTCTCCATAGGAATAAATGTTCCTTTCCCTTCTCTCTTCTTCTTTCATATCCCTGTGAGTCGATGTCGCAATTTAGCCAGATAACTAGTAATAGAATCATGTATGTTCTAAATTGCAATATGAGGATGAACTCAGCACTCTATGTGGATGCCTCTAATTGCACCAATAGCTCTTCCTCTCCACACACCTACTTTTTTCTTTTCAATGATACCCAAACACAGGTTTCGGATTTCAATGAATCATGCAGAATTGAAGCCCAGTTTCCAGTCATGCTATCTAATATCTCAGGCCTCTCTGCTTCTGATATTTATCTTCAAATGCTTATGGGCTTTGAACTGCCATGGCGTTGGATCGACCTCAATAACCAGCGCTGCGATTTGCAGGCGAAGATGTAAGTATTCAAGAACTTCTGAATATCTTTGCATTTGATCACGTAGGAATACTCCAAAGATCGACCTATAAATTAACTTGTATATTCCAATAAAGCCCGTCTTCTTACTTTTATTTCAAATATACCCCTCGAAATTTGTTTAGTATCAGCCCGTCCCCTCTACTGTACATTCGTTATATTTAACGCAAAAGCTAATTTAAAAAATGCCATAGGGCAACTTGTCACAGTTTCCTCTCCGTTAATGTGTTAATTGAGTTAGCTCCCTTGTCTATTGTGAATATTGGCATGAATGCTTTTGTAACTGCTCTTTCATCTCCTTTAATTTTTTTATCAAGCAACAACCATTTTCTTTGCTTCCTTGGCTTTGCAGAACCATTAGCAAAATACTGGATTCATTGATCAAAATTACATACCCTAGCTAGAGAATAGAGGAAAAATTACCTTTGCTTTTGCTTTATGTGCAACAATCATATAGTCAAAGGGACTTATATGGCATGAAAGTTACTCTAAGGGACATATTTGGGACGAAAATTAATGGAGGCTTGATTAAAAAATTAAAAACTTAATCGATGGGCCAATACTAGGGTTCTTCCTATGAAACAAACCTTACCGTATAATGATATGAACATGTTGACCAAAACGTCAAACCAAAACCTAATCGAGGGACGTTTTTAATGTTCTTCGGGTTCATTAAATGATATGAACATCTTCACCAAAACCTTTAGTTAAGGATGTCAGTTTCTTCTGAAACCTCCCCAGTTGGGAGAAACTTCCTCAGTTAAAGAAATTTCATCAAAATTCTAAGAATATTTATCCCGTAGGGTGGTGATAGTGCATTTTTTTTCCACATCAAATTTTGCAAGAAATTTTCTTTTGTCTTGTGGAGACTCGTAAAAATTTATATATAATAAAAATATATATAAATTTATTTTTATATATATTTTTGTAAACATATTATCAATTAATTTTTATTTACTTAACTCAATTAATTAATTCAATCCAACCTAAATTACCTAACTTAATTCATTTTTCAATTTTAGTCTTTCCAAATCTCAAAACCAACTCAATAACCCAACTCAACCTAAACATATAGGATAGTTCATGTATTTCTAAGTCACCCAACTTAGAAATTGGAAGTTTGGAACTAAAGATTACAGTCAACTTCAACTTTCTTTTCCCTTTTTTTAGAAAAATTCAATTAAACCATAGATTACGGTGTTTCTCAACTTTCTTCCCCTCTCTCGATCTCTGCAAATTCGATTAAACCACTGCCGGCCACAAATTACTTGCACCGCCTCCAATTTTTTTCACCTCCATTATCCCCTCCATGTAACCCCTAATTATTCAGCATCACCTCATAGTCACAAACTCACAGCCTCCT